CAAGTCCTTGAATTTCCACCTCACCCATCCTAACTCCTGCAGAAGTGAGGTCTTCTCCTTGCTGCGTTTTACTGCAGTGCTGTCATCTCCAAGGCGATGCAGGAAGGCTCTTTTCGTGACCTGTTCTCATGTCTCCAGCACTCTTGCCTGCTTCAGGGGTCTCTGTTTATAACACAGTGCAGGAAGAAGGGTCTCCTTTGTCCCACATGAATATGGTTCATCAGAGCAAGAAAACAGAGCTGCTAGGGAGCTCATTCTTGAGGCCAAAAGTAGTATGTCCTTCATGTAAGAGACCTAGATGAGCAACGTGAGTGTGGATTCTGATGGGGAGACTTAACAGTGTGCTTTCCAGACATGGAAACACTCCCCAGCGCAGAGGAAGATAAGTAACATTCATGTAAATAACAGTACTAAGATTCATGTAGATAGTAATACTCTTTCTCATGCTTCACCTTCATTGATCAGAGCAAGAAAATTCCTAGTGTTTGGGTCTGTTGGTCACTATCAGCATGCAGTCTGGCAGGTCGATTCAGAAAACAAACCCCTCGCCTGTTGCATAGCTATGGTCGGTTCCTCTGTCTCTGCCTACTCCTTCTGACTTCTTTGCCTCCCCAAAAAGTCTTCTGGATTAAGAGACAAAGAGTGACGGTCCCTGTCAGTGAAAGAGCCAGATAGTTACTAGACTGTTGTTTAGTAAAGAACTTGCTATGGCATAGTATAAGCCTTGTGTTAGAAATGAATATGATAAATCTGTTCCTTTGATCAGCTTCTTCTCTAAGGGGGTTATTGTTTAAAATGAAACAGCTCCTTTTCTTTGAGTACAGACTGTTCTCAAAAATGCAAAATAGCGTGGCCTGTCACTCAGGGCTCCTTGATCCCGTACGCACCTATAGACAGCACTAACGAACGGACGCGGTACTGGAAACGTTGGGTGTCTCACACTGAAATTACCTAACTGAGGGAAAAGGTAGGATTTATCCTTTCATCTGTATATCGTGCCATTGTTTCAGTGGCTGGACAAATCAGTTCCTGGGTTATCTTCGTGATACAGTGGGGAAATTTTGGCATTCTAGGAACAGCTTTGTGCTGTTACCAGCATCAGGAGCTCGTGGAAAGACTTCAACAAATGCAGTCATCTGTCATCTATTTCAAACGATAGCATTATGACCTACTTCCCTTCCTGTTCCAAGGCACCAGGAAATGAGGCAGGACACTTTTTCAGAAGTTTCCCATAGTAGGCTTGTTTTTAAAGACCGTTTGCCTGTTCATATACTTAACACTTTACCAGCAGACTGTTGCATTTATCTTTCTCCTTGTTTTTCCAGTTGTCCTCGTTACCATTTTGATTTTTGCATAGGTACTTTTAGGGTTCCTCTTTGGAAATTCCCTTGCTTTCCTTTTTTTTTTTTTAGTTATATTTAAGAAATTCTGCAAGAAAAACAAAGCAAACAGTAATGCACAACTTTTAACCACTTAGGCTCTGGATTCCCATGAAAGTCAGGCTTAGCAGTAATACAGGAGGGGTGCAGCTCTTGCTTCAAGAGATTGCCAAAATAGAAAGCAGGTTACCCCATGCTGAGTACCTCTTGAGGTCTGTGGGAAACCCTGGTGTGATACACAGCTATATTTGTGCCCCAGAGTAAAATGATCTTGTCCCGTAGCTGTGGGTACGCCTCTGCCTCTCATACACTGTTCCCATCTGTTGACACAAGAGAAGCTCCAGTTGTATTTTATCCTCTCTACCAGTGAATGCAAAAAAACGACTTTAAAACCAAAACAGAACACAGGTTTGCAATCTGTTCTGCCTGCATCACCATATCCTTGATAATAGTTTGATCACAGGCCAGCTAATCTGACTGGCACCTACTCAAATTCACTCCTTTCTCAAATGGCCCATGAATTTAGGATGATGTTCCACTAACGGGGCATTAACGTGCTGAATTACATATTTTTTTTCTTTTCTTTTTGCCATTATCATGGGGAAAAATTATATCCTTACCAGGTTTTGGGTGTGCTTGTTTTTATAGAAATCAGATACTTTTTACTAAAGCAAACTTCTTGATAGTTCATGGTAGTTGCTGCTCTCTGTTTCATCAGCTTCTCTGGATTTCAGTCAAAGTTCAGTAAAAATTTCTGCAATAAAAAGAGGACTTGAAAAATAATATTGCATTACTGTTGTTTGTCAGTGATGTGTCAACTCTATGTTAGACTCCAAAAGAGTAAGCACAAGGCATTTTCATCTGGAAGAGGATGTTCTAATGTTGAAAACTGCTCTTTCAGTAGAAAGTCAGTCTGCTGGGAGTAGGCTTCTGCCCTGCTACCGAGGTCTGGCTGAGCCTCTTGTTGCTGCAGTGAAAACAGATGAATATACCCATTAGTAGATCTTAAAGCTGAAAAAGTTACAGTAAATACAGGTGCTTTCTTATTATCATCTCTTATTAATCATAGCATGGGTTTTACCAGTCCAGTCTCCTAAAACTCATAAATGCCAATATACTAACCAATCATTTCGGCAACTAAAATGCAAGATCTTGGTTTTGGTTTGTTTTTTTTTTACCCTGGTTTCTTGAATACTTTGAACTTTTGGTTTAAAATGTTTGAGTGCTACGTTTACTGCTTCAGACCTTTGTTCTACCCTTTAAAGCCATTACCCTTACAGTAATTTTTTTTCTTTTTCCCCAGGGTGACCAGATGCAGGTCATGCCTATACCAAGTGTATGTATTTTTATCCCTTTTTCTTTTAATAATTTTCATAACTTTTGCTTTGATTCATCTTATGTTGCAGTCTAACAGGTCTGTTTTGTGTTGCATGTTAACAAAAGGATTTTATGTTCTGTCTGCGATGTTGTATGCTCAGAGATGAATTGAACTGCATGTGTTGTACAGGGTCTAAAAGAAGAGATTGGGTTTTAGACAGTTTTCATCTTGCATCTCAGTTAAATTGGTTTCTGAATTTTTATCATTTTGGTAATGCGTGAAGTATTCTGAAAGTTGAGGTTAAGTATTTTAATAGAGACAAAAGGTGACTCATCACCACTATGTGGGACAGTTACAAAAAGCCTTTTCCTCTTATTTTTCCCTACACTAAAGTTCGAAAAGAAGAGTTAGGAGCTACATAATTTGTTTGAAACAAGCCACTTTAGAAAATCCAAGTGTACACAGTGACCATAGCTGCATTACTGCACTCATTCGAGATGATGCTCTCAGTATCAGCTGCTGTTTTATGGGCCTTAATATTTCTGCTTGTCTTCCCTGGATTAAACTTGGAATGCCATTTGGCATCTGAATTATGTTTCAAAACTAAATAAAAGGAAGAGGGGGAAAAAAAGGTAGTTCTTCAAACTGAAGCTTTTAATTTAGGTTTAACTTTTTTTGGTCAGGAAGCTGCTCTTTTTCTACTTGGTATTTTTATGTGGATGAAGACTTAGATTTTAAATCTGAAAATAGTTTTTTAATTTTTTTTTTTTAAACTCCTTTGCTATTTATAATAGTTTATTATTGCAGAGTTTCCCAGGAAAGAGCAGTGCTGGTGTGTGGAGTTACTGACACATACCTCTTTCTTGAGATACTTGGTAGCTCCTGAAGACCCAAATATTTCCCAAGATACCATTTTTTCCTCTT